GAGGCTGTAAATCTTTACAGGAGCAGAAAGCCTCGTCTTTCTCCCATGGAACAACAGCTGGTAGTTTTGAACAGCTGACCCTAAGGTTTGCAGCCCAATTCGTAACCACTATGCTACCAGAGCTCCTTGCACGATCTCTTTATTTTTATTTATTTTTAAATAAATATTTTATTGTGTATTGTGTGATAGTTTACATGGGGAAACATTAGTTTTACATTCATTCTATCATACATCGTTTCATTGCCATAGTTACCATCCCATCCATGCATCATCCCCCAACCAAAGAGTATACCCTGCAAGCTCCCCACCCCCCATAGTCCTCAGCACACAGCCCCTTTCCCTCTCTGGATCCCAAGTCCCCAGCCACTCCATCTCTTCACGTCATCCTCTCTGTCTCCATCTCAGGCCTCACTGCTTCTCTGGGTGGAGTCCCATTCTCCGCTCTTCTCCATTGATGGTCCCAGGGCCCTCTGCTCCTAGACTGAACTTGCAAGATCTCTTTAGTTGTAATCCTTCTCATGAGTTGCCACTCAGTAGGTTCCTACTCATGGTGACCTGTCGGTGTCAGAGTAGAGCTGTGCTCCACAGGGTTTTCAGTGGTGGAGCTTTTGGAGGTAGACCTCCTGGCCTTTCTTCCGAGTGCCTTTTGGCAGAGCGTGTTAATCCTTTGCACCACCCAGGGTCTCTCCTGCATTTGTTTATGTCTTTATTCATTTCTCTTAGTAGCATTGTGTAGTTTCTACAATTCCCACACTCTGAATTCTCTTTAGTGGGGACTTCATTTTCATCTCCCACATCTTTTCAGTAGTTGTTGTGAGTTGCCATCTTTTTGATTCTGACTCAAGGTGACTTGAGCTGTCTACACAATTCTTGTGCTGTTACCTTTATAGAAGCAGATTGCCAGGACTGTCTTCCGAGGCACCTCCCGGTGGGTTTGAGCTCCCATCCTTTCAGCTAGTGTTCGAGCACTTGGCTGTGCTAATCAGGGACTCCACCCACTGAATAGCAGAAAAGTTCAACTTGCCAACAATTGAAGATAACTTAGCCATCACATGCATTGTTGTCAAGTCCAATCAGACTCAGACACCCTATAGGACAGAGAAGAGCTTTCCAAGGCTACCATCTTTGCAAAAGCTGACTGCTACATCTTCCTTCCATGGAATGGGTTCAAACAGTCAACCTGTGGATTAGCGACCAAGTGCTTAACTGCTGTATCTTTGGAGCTCCTTAGTCATCACTGTAGTGACTCCCAGTCCACAAGTCCCTCGGTCCCTCTGGCCTCTGTCTAGTTTGTCCTTCCTGGTTTCTAGGGGACAGTTACCATCCCTGGTCTGATGTGCTGCTTATATTTTTATTTTATTGCTCCATACAATTCACATTGCCTCCATCTGGCCACCGACCCTCTCTGCCAACCGTGCTTCCTCTTGGGGGCACAGGAAGCTTTTATTTGCACATCTCCCTGAAGAGCAAGATTGGCTTCCTCCTGTCTCCAGGCTACTGGACCTGGGAGGCTCTCAGAAGGCCTGGGAGTGAGGGACCCGTCCAGTCCTGGCTTGCTCTCCAGCTCCCCTCAGCTGATCTGTGTGCCCTGAAGACCTCAACTCAGTTAAGGTGGACAGAGGTCAGTAAACCCAGCTAAGGGCCCTGTGTGTTCTTCAAATTCCCCTCTCAGTTCAGAGCTACCTCTGCCCTGTGCGTTTGTGGTGGGGAAGCTGTCTTAAATCCTTGTTTAGTTCCTTAGTGTTGCTGTGACAATGAACACAAGTGGGGGGCTTTAACAAATTTATTTTCTCAGTTTGTGTTGTTAAAGTGTCATCGAGTCGTGTTGCGGACCGTGTAAGACTGGTCAGAGGTTTGAGGCCCTATAGGCCCGAGTGTAACAAATGAGGCCACTGGCAGTTAATGGCAACTTGTTTTCATCTTAATATTCAGTTATATATATTAAATTAATACATGGAGCCTTTGAAAATCCACAGATAAATGTGAAATTTTCTAAAGCCGAGACTAAAGGTTGCAAGGTTAAACCTTTCTCCAAAAGGATTAACTAAAAATATCTTAGCTACTTCTCGGTTCTTTGTTCTATAGACAAAGAACCCATCCTCCCTAATCCCTTTTCCAGGTGCAGCCCATTCACCTGGGTGTCTCCTGCAGAACTCTCACCTTCCCTCAACTGAACTCAGGGGCTATAGATATGTTAATTGGGCCTGAGAATCCAAGTTGCTGGCCTGGAATTCGAACCAGTGAAGTATGATGTAAAGTTACCTGAATGTCTGGAAAAGTACTGATGTTAGCTGTACCTTGCCTAAGTCCCTCCCAGCTTGGTGTGAAACTCTTCCCCTAAATAAAGCAGAGGCCAGGGCCTCCCCAGGTGTGCATTACGGGTTGGAAGGCATGCAGTAAAGATTGCAGGGCAGTGAGTTGCTGCCTGCAGAGGCCATGATGCCTGTAGTCCCAAGCCTGCCCACCAGTGATGCATCCACCCTGGCTTTGGGGTGCCTCATTGTCTCCCTTCTTCTGTTTGTCTTTGTATTCTTTCGCTATCCCTATCGCCGCTGGATCTCCCCTCCTCGTGAACCAAACACTCGTGAACAACACAACTATGTTGAGTCCAGACCTCGGCAGAGTCGGTTCTGACCCATAGCCACCCTGTATAGGGTTTCTGAGGAACAGTTGGTGAGCTTGAACCACAGACCTTGCATTTCAAACTGACCTTGCAGTCCAGTGCATTAACCTGCAGTGCTACACCGGCACTCCTTTCTCAGTTTGGTGGTGGTTATGTGCTGTGAAGTCGGTTCTGATTCATAGTGAACCTGCACAGGGTTTCCAAAGCTATAAATCTTTACAGGAGCAGAAAACCTCATCTTTCTCCCAAGGAACAACTAGTAGCTTCGAACTGCTAACCTTGAGGTTAGCAACCCGACTTGTAACCACTACGATACATTGTTGTTGTTGTTATGTGCCGTAGAATCGGTTCTGACTCATCGCAACCTTGTACAGGGTTTCTGAGGCTGTAAATCTTTACCGGAGCAGAAAGCCTCATCTTTCTCTCGTGGAACAGCTGGTAGTTTCGAACTGCTGACTGTGAGGTTAGCAGCCCAATTCATAACCACTACACTACCAGAGCTCCTTACGATACATTACCAGGGCACATATCTAGGGGTTAAGATTTACAACACAATTCAATCGAAAACAATCCTGAAACACGTTTCCTCAACTCTGTGCTTAAGAGCTTCAACTCTACACGGAGTTTCCTCAAAATCCCGACCCAGCCCTAAACTTGGCGAATTAGAGTGTGAGTATCTCCTGACATTTTGGACGCTGGGTGGGGCCCGACGTGCCTCTTAGTCGATTACTTCTCCTTTCCTTCAGCTTTCTCTCTCTCTGTGTGCACACTCAATCTAGTCTTCACACAGTGTCAGAGTGATTCTAAACACCTTGAGAACTCAGAGGAGCAAGGGTCTGATTCTGCAGAGGGACCATCACAAAAGGGACAGAGTGGGTCTTAACGAGGAGCTGAGGAAGCCAGCCCTGACTGTTTTTGGGATGAAGAGGCAGGGTGAGAAAGGGTGGTGGAAGACACTTTGGTTTTGACCCATGTGGTAGGACAGCACTGACAATGATGTCGGATGGAGCTGGGTTCAAATCCCAGCCTCACCTCTTATTAGCCTGATGGCCTTGGGCATGTGACTTAACCTCTTTCAAGTTGAGTATCCTTAGCTGTAAGGTGTTATGGACTGAATTGCATCCCCTAAGAAGACTTGTGGAAAGCCTACCACCAGGCACCTGGGACCCTTATTTGGAAATAAAGTCATTGAAGATGCTGTTGGGTGATATGAGGTCAGAATGGAGTAGGGTGTGTCCTTATGAAAGAGGAAAAGAGATGGAGACAGGAAAGATGACCATGTGAAGACGTATCTTCAAGCCATCTTCAAAGTCTAGCGATACTGGAGGCTGGGGCGTTGAGAAGGTTTGCTCCTGGAGATATTCTAGACAGCGTGGCCCTGTGACTCCCTGAGTCTGGACCCTTGCCCCCAGAGCTGGGAGACGTGTTCTGTTCTAAGTCTCCCCGTCAGTGTTTGTTAGACTGTTCTTGAAAAGCAACATACCGATGCACTCCTGGGGCTCTAAAGATCATGCCCTCAGCACCCTTTTGTTGTGACCAAGGGACGGTCATCCAGGTCCTCTGATAAGCCTGGATGACCACCAGAAGCCCCAGAGGATAAAACAGAGACGTTACTGCAATGAGACCAGCTCAGAGTTCAGACCACAGTTTATTTCCCTCCCAGTGTGGAGGAGACACACTTTACACAGTGCCCCTGGATTCAGAGGCAGACAGGATGCCCAGCTCCAGCCTGTAGGGGTGGGGATGGGAGTAGCCCAGGGTGGGAGCATCGCCATCATTGCCCACCCTGATCTGTTGACCCAGGAGTCGAAGGAACGAGCTGGCGCCATCCTTCCCCAACCTGGAAGGAGGCCAGGGTCAGAGTTGGTTCCAACTCCACTTTACCGATGAGAAGAAGGCGGCTTTCCCAGGGGGGAGGGTGATGGCCGCTGCAGCCTTCTGCTGGCCCTGGTGCCTGTGGGGCACAGCTGGCTCAGCTTGAGCTTACAGGTGGCATCGAGTGCAAAGGACAGAGCAGGTCTTGGGGCCAGGAGGCTCTGCGGTGTGGCCTGGCCTGGGCTCTGCACCGTGTGGGTGAGGGACAGGGCAGGTCTTGGACCTGAGTCTCCCACTGAGCAGGCTGGACAGATGTGGAGCAGCCCTGTGTGGTCAGAGCACTCCTGGGAAGAGTAACTGAGCCCAAGAAAGAGAGAACACACCCTGGATGATGTTTTGGGAACTGTGAACAAATGTCACAAGGTGCCACAAAATGTGAAGATTTGGGAGGAGGTGGGACAGGACAGCAGAAAGGCTGCCCCCCTAGATTCACCAGATGGGGCTGGAGAGAAGCCAGGCCCATAGGAGAAAGGCTGAGCTCTAGCCTCCTGGGACTGACCATCTACTCAGAGGACTCCTTGGGCATGTATGCCACATTGTCATAGGCGGGGGGTGGAGAGGCTGCCGGACTGGGGATGTTGAAGTCTGTGCTGAAGGCGTTTGGCAGAAAAATCACGGGCTGCAAAAAAAATTAAACTCAGTTAAAGTCCTAGAGAAGGAGCTCTGATAGCGTAGTGGTTACGAATTGGGCTGTTAATCTCAGTTAGCAGTTCGAAACCACCAGCTGTTCCGTGGGAGAAAGATGAGGCTTTCTTTCTGTTCCCATAAAGATTTACAGCCTCAGAAACCCGGTACAGGTACAGGGTCACCATGTGTCGGAAGTGACTTCATGGCACAGAACAACAAAATTCCTTGGGAACCTAGGCAGGTGTTACAACAATGCCCCCTTGTGGAAATTCTGAGAATGGCGCCTCAGCAATGAAGTGTACAAGTCTGAATTTAAGGACATTAAATTCATCTGATGAATATCTCAGAATCTGTTTATCTGGGCCTCGTGGCGACCCCATGTGTGTCAGTATAGAGTTGTGCTCCACAGGGTTTTCAATGGCTGATTTCCCAGCAGTAGATGGCCAGGCCTCTCTTCTGAGGCACCTGTGAATGGACTCAAACCCAGAGGTGTATATTAGGCATGGCATGTGTGGCATGGGCCTTGGGTACCTCTTGAAGAGCAGCACCACTGAGCAATTTCTATCAACCCAGTACTGCCCAGCTTCCTTTCTCTAGCATGGTGGACACAGAGGTGTATTGAGGGGAGCAGGGGGACACTTGTCTGTGGGTACAAGTCTGAGGGGGAGCCAGACAAGGTGAAGAATGACATTCTGAGATGCCACAAATATGAAAGGTGCTTTCATGGGACAACGAGACACGGTGGTGGGGGAGGGGGAAATGCGTGGGGGAGGAGTTTCTGGTGACGTAATGCAGCTATAAACATCTTGACATTTGTTGTTGTTGAGTGATGTCCAGTTGGTTTTAACTCATAGTAACCTTGTATAGGGTTTCTGAGAGCAGCTGGTGGGTTTGAACCGCCGATCTTGTGGTTATCAGTCCAGTGCTTATCCTACATCACATGAAATTGAGGGTGGGGTGGGGTTCAATTTAGAGATTGCCCTCCCTGAGCCAACATCCTTGCGATGCCAAGCCCTACCTTTCAGTTAGCAGCAAAACACACGAACCGAATGCACCACTCAGGGACTTTTGCTGTGAGTGGGAATCTAATCCACGGACATTGTTTTTTTCCTGGGGCCAACTCTGACCCAAGGGTTTGAAGTACAGCCTTGAGGAACACAGATAAATGTCTCTGGGAGCTAGTTCTGGTTCCTTCTTTCTCACTGGACCATCCCGGACAGTGTAGGGCCTCCTTATCTCTTGACAGGAATCCCAGGTAGCACAGAGGATTAAGCATTGGGCTGCTAACTGCAAGGTGGGCAGTTCAAACCCACTAGCCGCTCCATGGGAGAAATATGAGGCTGTTTGCTCCCGTAAAGATCTATAGTTTTGGAACCCCGATACAGAGTCGCTATGAATCAGAATCAACTGGATGGCAGCGGATTTAGTTTTTGGGATTTCCTTTCTTGTCAGGACCACAGCACTGGCTTCCTCTCAGGTCTCCCTCTTTCAGCACGCCCCGCCCTCCACTGCTGTGATTGACGAATTCACCAGATTGATTTCCCTGAATCCAGCTCTGCTCCTTTGGCTCCCAGGCTGCCATGTCTGCAGTAGTATCTCCATCTTTCGTCAGTCCTCAACAGTACACCCCCGTCTGAGGAGCCCCTGCTTCTACAGATTCCCCTGACTTGGATGTCACCCTCTTTCCATATTCACTGTTTTCCATGTTCTTGAACAAGGAACTCAATTTGCACTTCAGTCGCGTTGCCCTTCCTGAAGCCCCCCGTCTCCCTAGTGGTCTTTGAAATCTCGGAGGATCCTTCCAGCAATCCCCTCACTCCTGTGATTAGTGTTCTGGAGTTCTGCTCAGCCTCAGAGAACAGCTGGTCCGTTCATGCTGGCGATCCCCTTTGCTATGAGGGGAATAGTTCCATTTCAACTACTACTAGAATGTAGTTGTTGTTGTTAGGTGCCATCGAGTCGGTACCAATTTATAGTGACCCTATGCACACCAAAACGAAACACTGCCTGATCCTGGGCCAACCTCACAATTGTTGCCACACTTGAGCCCAATGATGCTGCCATTTTGCTGACCCATCTCATTGGGGTCTTCCTCTTTTTCTCTGACCCTCCACCTTACCAAACATGATATCCTTATCCAGTGACAGGTCCCTCTTCACAATATGTCCAAAGTATGAAAGACCAAGTTTGGCCATCTTGGCCTCCAAGGAGCACTCTGGCTGCACTTCTTCCAACACAGATCTATTGGTTCTTTTGGCAGCCCATGGCACTTTCAATATTCTT